GCTGTTTAGGTAGCGCATCACTTACATAGTACTCCACGCAATTGCAACAATTGAAACCTGTCCAGATTTCTTTTCCAAGCCATTTCCGTCATGGTAATCTCGAACAACCACTGATTTCCACTAATTTTATGGAGCCTTGTTTTTCGTGAAATTGCCGGGGGTTTTCTCGCGTTCCTCATCAACGACGCACTATTCTTTACCAACGCCCGCTTTTCGACATAAAAGTGGTGTCTCAGAATTATCGTTAATTGTGCCTTCTGAAAAGGCAAAGAGCTTCAGTACCATGGGTGAGGAACGATTAACGACGTACTTGAATTAGAAGCAAGCAGGAAGGAATGAATTTATCAAACGCTTCTTCTGATCCTATGAGTTCTATGCCTACCAGGAAACGTTGGCCGATTACGAATTTGTGCAGGTGAGCAGTAGGAAATATTTTTCCAAGAGGAAGTCTCGGCTCGAACCGAATGGTTAGCCCCGCTCCTTTCAGAGAGTAAAACAGCATCAACCATTCAGCCATATTTGACTACACTGAGGTAGTTGAAGTCCTTTGGGGCAGACCTGATAAATAAACATTCATCAGACCCCAATCAGTAATAGAAATGACTGTAACTCCGATTACCTGCTGATTAGAAGACTTTACCCTCGAAAATAACTGGTACGCGATGGAGTAAACAAATGAATATAGAAAGTAAAAAAAGAAGAATGACAACCTAAAAAGATTTTAGAGATGGGAGTAAGCAAGTGATAGATGTATAAGGCACAAAGATTGTATGGTAGAGAACATGAAAAGGATAAAGTTTTTGGCGTTAATCAATCCCGTCTGTGGGATGCGCCCCCGCACTCGACTTTCATTCAGAATCCCAGGGATGTATTGAATGCGTATGTAGCCTATACAATAGCTTGCGGGGCCAGCCGATAAACAATTCTGTGTTTTTATCCTCCCAGACGAGCCTGGTACCAATTTACCGGTCCCGTGGAGATGGAAGGCTTGGTTGGACTGAGCGGGCGTCGATCCGGGATTCGAACCCTTGACCGTGAGTGTGATATAGTGCGCCACTTGCCACTACACCACCGGAAGCCAGTTACGTTTCTCTTCGAACTTGTCGCGGTCATCATATTAAAATACTCACCGTCGGATCGGAGGACAGCTTGGCATCGCGAATACTCCGGTCAGTAATCGTCTTGGTCACCACAAACTTACATGCTACCTCCACTTGGACTTCGATTCCTTGGCGTTCAACTGTCCTTTCCACAGCACATTGAATAATGTCGTGTTTACTCCGCCAGCGCAGAGTCTAAGTTTTCGAAGCGTAAGTCGAGCCGGAAAGGGCTGCAGTATCAACCGCGGGGCGGAGCTGTAGTTATTTGTGTTTCTTACTAACCTCTCTGGGCCTTCAAAGCTTTCCGTCTTCTGCAATGACTATCATGGTGATCTCCTAGCATTAATATACCTTTTTGGAACCCTCAGCGGAGGTGGGGTAGGGGCAAGTGGCGCACTATACCACACGCACGATCAGGGGTTCGAATCCCGGGTGGTGCCCGCCTAGGCCAACCAAGCCTTACGCCACTACGATTCTGAATGGAAGTCGAGTGCGGGGCGCATCCCTCAGACGGGATTGATCGATGCCAAAAACTTTAAACTTTTGATTTATTTTGAACAATGGGAGGTGTTCTTCCGTTGAAAGTTAAAAGGACATCAGTCAAAGTCCATCGATAGTGGCATCAGTAAAAAATCATCGTTTTTGGTATATTCACTCGCAACTTTCTCACTTTCTTACACCTTTTGCAAAAGCTGTCATATCCTATTTTGAACAATGGGAGGTGTTCTTCCGTTGAAAGTTAAAAGGACATCAGTCAAAGTCCATCGATAGTGGCATCAGTAAAAAATCATCGTTTTTGGTATATTCACTCGCAACTTTCTCACTTTCTTACACCTTTTGCAAAAGCTGTCGTATCCTATCAGTATGCTTTCGGTCCATCTTGAGGCCTGTGTTCTGGAGGCCTACACCACCCATATCCTTAGTAAACACTTACTTCCCGATTCTGTGAATACTTCAATGCGGGTGATGGCATCTTGCCTCGGTCAGCTCCATGGAGTATTCCCCTTCGTTCTTGATCTGCGTAGCTCACACCATCCGGCTTAAGCGCACTTCCACTGCAAGCGATCGTGAGGTGAAAAAACAGGTTTCCATCTTAGTCTACCTTGATTTGAAAATAGTAACTTACCTGAAAGGTAACTCATGTATAAGGATGAATGGAACACATCATTATCTTCGTATTCGGTATTTCGAACACTTGCAAATGCTGGCTATTCTTCGAGGTGAGAGAGAATTCTCCTCATTACTCTTGGGGAACGACCGTGAATTGTCTTTTAGGTACATTCAACCTACTTGGGTGCATCTTTTTGGATATTAATCGCCTTCACATACAGACAAAGGACTCATTCTTGCATGAGTACGCACATGAGGGGCGGAAAGTATGAAATGGCTTAGCGGTAGCAAAAGCGAGAAGACCAACAGCAATGGCCACCTTCATCTCAAGGCAAAAGTATTGTGACTAGAGTTAGGGATTTGCTCCCGTCCAATGCTCAGGGTTGCGCCATGCCGCCACCTCACAACCAACTTACGTAAGCAACTGTGTGTCAGTTGCTTGGGGATATCCCTCAGAATTTTTGGCTTTACAGCCGATAAAGCATGGAGGAAAAGGCCAGGCAAAGAGTTTTGATATAAAGTTCTTGATCGAGAAGGACTCACAGTGAAAGACAACTTTGATAACTGAAAAAAGGATTATATGCAGTAACAAACTATGGGATAGAGCCTTCGGGCGTTGAGACTTGGAAGTGTCACGTCAATGATTACATGAGCATTCGAATGAGATTTTAATCCTGCTTCCAGCACGATGAATCTAGTAGCGGACGATGTCAATTTGAAGCCTCCTTCTCTATTTTTAAGGCTCTGACGAAGGCAACAATGCCGAAAGCTTGGCCAAGTAAAAAAGTCGTGAAATCTAGGCTGAGGCTTTCAAGGACGCCAACACATCGAGGTTTTGGTTTACTACTTCTTCGCCTAGCCAGCTGCACCGCTAGACATTTATTTATTCATCACAGAAACGGAAGTCTGTCTGCAGATGTCCATTCGTGAGATCCTAGGTCCCTTACAATGAGGGACGATTTCTGCAACATGTACTTCACGATAAGGACGTACTTTTACCCACCGGAACGAATTCGCCCTTCCACGTCATCGCCTGGAGCCTCACATTATTTGATGCTTTCCCATTCCGCTTCATTTTTTCCTTCCGAGAGGATTTAAATCATGAGCTGCTGTAGTCATAGAATTAATGGAATCCCTTTGCGACGATCGAATGTTGTCCCAGAGATTCCTGGTGGTCTCGCCGTTCCCATTATGTTTTGTTGGCTTGTAGCCAAATCTGTGGTGTCTTAAGTGGGGTTTCAGAGACCAAACGCTTCATTTTTATTCAAATCTGGCCACACCGTTGGAGACAGCGTGTCTCCAGGACTCGTTCCATGTCTGGAACAAGAGGGAACTTCCTTTTGCCATTTGATACACAGTTGGCGGAATGTTTTCCGAGAACACTTATTCGAGAGCAAGGACAAGGAACTTAAATCTCCCCAGGGTTCATGTTCCCAGACCAAGTGAGTAATGCTTGGGAATGTCGCTTGAAAAAACGATTCGCGTTATTCCTCCTGAAAAGACGCTCTTCCTAGGTCGTTCCCTTGCTGGCAATGAGACAATGACCCAGTCATGTGAAACAATCAGGCTTTATCTCTAAAAGAAAAATCCATGTATTGAGGAAAGACTGAAAAAAGCTGTTACGGGGCGAGATAATGAATTTGTAGCTCAGACTGCTTTTGCAAGAGAACGTTTTCAAGTCATTGTCGAAGAAACTTACATGTAACGAAGCTCATTCTCTACGTAGGTCTCCTTTGCTGAGTAGAACACTCCCCAGATGAAAAGCAATCCAGCAGCATAACCATCAAAAACTGAATCCATCAAGTAGTTAGCAGCCAATTCTGAAACGGCACTACGTTACTTTTAGTTTCGCCGCCTGGAGAGGTAAGCAGATCTCAAAATACATCATGTGCCTATGAGAAAAAAGTTGGGGAAACGTCTTCGATTTCGATCTATTCTCCTGTCTGATGCGGCTTATCCAAGCACTGATCGAAACCCCAGTGATTTCTGAAGTATCCCAATTTGTCGGGTGGAGGTCGCTTTTCAATGATTCTGTTCAGCCCAGGAAATCCTGTTAAACTCTGCTACAGTCAATCAATTGTGAACAGAGAGCCTCTCCAGCTCAAGCAGGAATTGATGGTGGTGAAACCCAATGTGGACATTGTGTCTTGAATACTCATCCATTGGTTTTTTGAAGTGATCAGAAACAACCCTAGTAAACTACACTGGCGATAGACTGGAGCGAGAGGATGCCCACCTGATCCTTCCACATCACACTCATGGTGTATCCCAATTATCCCTACCATTACCCAGATGTCTCAGAGTGTTGTAGAAGCTTTGAAAATGTCGTGAACGGCTTATCAGTGCAGCAGAGTGTGAAGGAGGTTCAATCCCTGTGTGAAATGCCTCTCAGAGGACTGCACTTCATTTTGCATCTATGAGTAATGGTGTTACATGGGGTTAATGATGATCGGAGGCTCCCTATGATATGCCGTCACCAGTCTTGAAGTCTTAAAGTCTTTTGGCGTTAATCATTCCGTTGGGATGCACCCCCGCATTCAATTTCCATTTAAAATGGTATTGAACACGTATGTGGCCTACATACACCATGACTTGCAGTTGCCAGCCGATATAATAGTCAAAGATTTTATATTCCCAGACGAATTTAGTACCAATCAATCAACCCTGAATGGATGGTAGGCAGGCTTGGTCTGCCAAGATAGACCTCGACCTGGGATTCGAACACGTGAACATGGCTTGTGATAGTGCGCTCACTGCCATCACGCCCATTTTGCTACCAGTATCTACCGCTGATACAAAGTTTTTGATATTGAGTGTATTGGCAAGTTAATGGTCCGATCGGGTGGCGATGGCCAGAAACCACGGGCTAATTGCTGACTTTACATCGGATGTGAACTAAAAACCAATTCATCCCCATCCACACGGCAACTGAAAACCGCGCCGTTTACAAGGACACTCCATTTTTCCAGCCAAAGTGATGTTTTAGTTAGCAAAACTACCTTGATTCGTTGATTTTTTGTACTTCTAAAACGATTCTCCCAGATGCCATCCCTTCTTTGCATCCTAGAATTTATAGCAACGGTTTACAGAATATCCAGATAATGTACGCTTGTTCTATGTACTCTACATCTGGGTGCCCTAGCCATAGAAACATTCACGTCATCACCACAGGTGCCCAAAACACTGCAGCAGCCCGGAGCGAAAGCGAAAAAAAACGGAGCTAGTCAGAAGCAATCTTGACTATTTTCTGAGGAAAACTTACGTGAATTGCCACCATTTTTAAGGATTGCTTCATCTAGAGCGATGGATAGAGGGAATACCTCGAATGACGACATACAAGATTCCAAAAAACAGATTTCAGCGACCTTAGGTCCGGACACACCTGAAAATTCAAAACATAATGCCAAAGTGTGAAATTCAAGATATATATTGAGACGTTATGGCGGAGGTGGTGTAGAGGCAAGTGGCGCACTGTTCCACAAACATGACCACGTGTTTAAGTCCCGGATTGATATCCACCTAGACCAACTAAGCCTTCTATCGCTCCGGGTTTGGTTAAACGGTAGTAGATTCGTTCCGGTTAGATTCGAGATTAGAACACTAACTTGTATATCGGCTGGCAGCTGCAATTCATTGCATAGGCCATATACGCATTCAATACGCCACAACTATTCTGAATGGTAGTCGATGCAGGCCATTCCTAGGATGGAATCGAGCAACGCCCGAAGGCTCTTTCCTTTTGTCCTTTTTGACTGTTCGTCAGAAAACTATTTTTCAAATGGCAAGTTCGAAAGACATCTTACATAAGAAGGGCGGCAAATACTGTGTAGGCGAATGAGTTCCAACTCTACCTAATTGCCTTTGTAGAGCTATGTAGTTCTGCATTTGATTGGGTAATAGAAATTTGACAATGTTCACACTTGGAAAGGAAAAAACTGTTCTCTGTGATTGAGAGCTCATCACGTCGGCGGACAAATTCAATTAATTTGATTTGATTCGAAATCTGACGAGAATTCCAAGGAAACATGAAGGAAAGACATTGGAGTTCGGCTTAACTGCAAGGTTTTCTAGCTGGCATGTGCCCCTGCTCAGTGGAAATTTAACCTTTAAAAGACGAATCCGGTTCACTTGGAACGAATACAAATGTCATCTACCTAGGAAGGATGGTAGTTAGAGAATATCCGATATAATCAGAAAATGAAAGGAGATATTCAGTCGCTGGCTGATGTCTGCCTTTCATCTGACAAAGTCTGATAATTAAATACACTAGGAAAAAAACTGCTAACGAGATTCCCGAATAGATCAGAACAGATAAAAGACAATTAGTGACGGCTGTAGTTGGAAATGTGGGCGCTGACAGTTCTGAGAAGTTCCGCCCATCGGATAAATGCCTCCCTGGAAAGAAGGCCCAAGCGTAGGTGGCCAATTGGAAAAACTTTTGGGCTCAATCCTTGCGAGGAATGAAGATTTTTCTAGGTGGGCGGGTGGCCAAGTGTGAAATGTTGTTTTGAATTTATTGTTGAATAATTAATTATTGTGGGGGCAGATTTCACAGCAGCAGCACATAGGCAGTGACAATCAGCTATCGAAATAAAGAAAACAAAAGAAAAGGATGGACGAGTTCTCGCTCCTGTATATGTATATAAACTCGATTACCTCGATTATATGGTACATTGGTTTGTTGCTCTTAACGGCTCGTAACAGTGTTACAGTAGATGTAGCACTGGATTCAAAATGTCAGATAGACTAGTGAGAACTCCAAACGCTCTCTTCCCTCGCATTTTCTCTTTCGATGGCCTAGATGACTGCGAATTGCTAGTTCTATGTTTTGACGGCTGCCAGAGAGAGGAGAAGATCAGGTGGAAGAGGCAGTAATTATCCTAAGCCCACTGGTGTGAATCTTCGCCAGGCAATCGGAGCTCCAGCATTCTGTTATTATTCATGTGACGACACTATTGGACCCGTTAGTCTCGTCTTTTGGACTACGCACTTATTCATAAACGATGATGTACTCCATGCTCAAAATGGTCACGTATCAATCCTAGTGAATGGAATGCTTTCATATAATCATCGTAAAGAGATACAAGCCATGGAGCCTTCCAAGGTCCTACAACTGGGTTTCACATTTGATCAGGACCAGGTTTTTTCTCGTCCCTAAAAGTGAAGGCACATTTCACGATAGTTTTTGAGGTTTCTTCCTTTAAGCTCCATGGAGCACCCATGGATAACTTAAGGGAAGTTGTCGGGTCGAAAAACGGTCGAGATAAGCCGCAACCTGGCCGATCTTGGAGGTTAGCCGGCCGAATTCTTGAATGTCGTAAAAGCTGTAGAGATTGCGTCATTCACACCGGGACTCTCACGCAGGCAGCTTGCTGCAGCATCTTCACGTAACGACGAGGGCATTGGAAAATCTTGCTCAAATACTCCCCTNTAGAGATTGCGTCATTCACACCGGGACTCTCACGCAGGCAGCTTGCTGCAGCATCTTCACGTAACGACGAGGGCAATGGAAAATCTTGCTCAAATACTCCCCTCATAAACTTGTCAAGAGCATGTTTGAGACTGCTTCTGCAGTTTCACCGGAAGGCGCTTTTAGAATGGAGTCCATAAAGTGGGATCATCGGATTGCGCAGAAAAATGGATATATGGTTGCGTAGACAGCCTGCATCGCGTAGAAGACGTGCTAGGATGAAATATGTGCAAGAGGAAGAACACAGAAAGGTACCCTTTTCTGTACCATTCTTTTCAAATGATATGAGCACTGCCATTCGCGTCCGTCTCAGAGAAAATGATTCGCAGGATAGCTTGAACATCAAAAGACAGTTGGTTCAAAATCGCCTTCACGGAAAGCACAAAAGAAATGAAGGTGTGATGTGAAGAAGTGATGAAGGTCTCTGTTATGATACTGCCTCGTGAAGATGATAACTCATCGCGCAAGACCCTGGAGGCATTGCGGATCGCGGCAAAGAACCGTAAAATTAACGGGAAGGACGAATGCGTACAAAGGAGATCGCGCCATTCGCATACTTGTGTCGCTCTAGTCGATTCTCCTGCGGGGCGGGTGTTGGCGGGTTAGAATAAACAAACCCTCTAAAACTATATCATGGTGGATGCACGACCAGCAGCAAGGACCCGACCCGACCCTTTCGGACGACCTCGACCTCAGTTGTTATTTCCCATCCGGGAGGAGGAGGGGAGGCCTGGAGCAATCTCTGACCCAACCTCTGGGACCCAGCACATATCAAAACGTCGTGAGTAACTTCGAGCTTAGGTGCCGACAAACAGCTCCATTCGAACATGGGTCAGCTTCTGCTTTGCTTTCCTTAGAATGTTATTTTTGTAATTTGAAAGGGTAACCTAGGGTTATGTACCCGGCTTGCAGACTCCGTAGAAGGCGATTCCCCCAAAACGTAAGCTGTGAATAAAACGTTTTCAACAGACGCGCAGGCTAAATCAATTTACGACTAATTTGCTGGTGTTTCGGTGGATGAGAAAGCGAGAAAATCTGGATCTGAACAAGACGGAAATGACATGGAAAGGATATTCGGATCAGAATTCACTTGTTACGATTGCGCAAAGAGCTGATTACTTCAAACCAAAGCTGCCGAGCGGTAGATCTCATGAGCGATTTCTAACATAAACTTTGTTTCTAAGGTACAATTTCTGCCTGCCTTGCCGACATGGTTGTTAATAACCATTCACCTCAGTTAAATGAAAACATAAGGGAGCCTAGTTAGTTACGCTACTCTTCATGCCAGCGGTGTTACTATGAAAGGTGTTTTTGGAGAAAATGTGGGGTTTGCTTGGTTTCATCACCAGTCGTTGCCCAATTCGGATTGCTGAGAGTTTTCCTGGAGCACATATCCCTCAAGTGAAAATTCCTTCGGCCCTTTCAATATGGCCAGAGACGCAATTCATTGTATGGAACATATATGCTTTGAAAAACCACTACCATTTCGAATGGAGGTCTCACTGAAGGAGGGGTCTAATTTTCTTGTTCGGCAATATGCTTCTCGTCGAGTCCCCGGAACGGTATTGAGCAACACTGAAATAATTTAGATGACTCATTTCTCGCAGTGATACAGAACTTCTATTTCTGTTTTTCCAACAATAAGTTAATCAGCAGTTCCGCTTCTCATGTGGATTCCATAAGAGAAGTTCCATTCCTTTGACTACTATGATTAATTATGGTGTGGTTCGCTACAATTTTGAGGTCACTGTAAGTTGCGTTTTTCAGAGAGAATCGGGAGAACTCTTATTATGTCTTGGCCATTTTCTTTAAAAACCTCAATTCGAGAAAATTGCCGTTATTTCGAGCGATCGCAATTGAGAGAGTAACAATAGCGAAAAAGGTAGAATTCAGGTGAGAAATGTACTTAATAAAGAGAAAAGAAAAAGGGACAATAGGGACAACGTTACGTCATGATGAGCTTGTCACCGGGAGTTCCGTCGCTCGCATCGGCCTTACTTTTCAAGAACAAAGCTTCTTTGATTCTACAGAGAGTACTTTACTTTCACAAAAGTACACAAATACAGTAGGAGTTCATGTTCATCCCCCAACATCAACTCCTGGCACGGTCATTCATATTTGCTTTGTGGAGCGGGCGATAAGGTTTTTCACAAGAAACTAATACACAAGCTGAAGCTGCTAAAATTTCACCATATTCCCAGCAAAAAAATTTTTGTTTTTTTCAGTGATCAGTTTCTGAGAATACTACGTTGGATCACGACCCGATTGGTTCGTCAATGGGAGAGCTGTTGAAGGAATACCATTGGCGAGTTCCCCTTCGTGCTTATTTGTCAGTGCCGAATCATCGAATGTTTTCCAAATTCTAGTAGCATAAAAAAAATTAAATTCAGATAAAGGCAAAGCGGAAGCATCCGAGATTACTTCCGTGCTAGCCTTTTTTGAAACCTGGGCATTTGTACAATAATTAAACTATGCTTTTAAGTCAAACAGGTTTTCTAATGATAGAACATTCATTTCGTCTGACGTTTCGAGCAATTTGTCTTTATCAAAGGCCTGAAAGCATTTCGAAACTGTAGAGTGCTGCCTATCACGCTTGACGGAGACATCTCTTAACTATTAGTTGCAACTGCAACCGGTGAACTTCCAACTAAATAGAATTTCAACCCTCACGTCAGCTTCACCCACGCCGTATAGTTGCTCAGCTTCAGAGACGATAGAGGAAATGAAGTCCTTCGTTCAACCACATTCCATTAATAGTATCGTGATGGCACGTATCAGTCCCCACTATCAGAGCTCACGCAGAGGGATGTATGGCAAGAGGTCACCAGTTATGTTGACGCACTCATCCTTGTTATTCATGCTTGGATTTCGGTCTCATATCCAGAAGGCCCTAAGGTTCTTCTGGCAACAATATTGCTCTCGCGGGCCGAAATGGTGCATTTAATGTTAAAGTCACAACCTTCTATTTATGTTTCCTTAGCGGTGCAATCAGACAACTTCTTCGTTTGCTAGCTAAGTAATCCTGTACACGGACGCATAATTGTCTCCCAGTTTCTCCAATGTAACAAGCATCACATGTTAAGCACTGAAGCTGGTAAACCACAGCCTTCTGTGCACATTCTCCTACTTTTCCATGAACAGATTACACAGTTATCCATAATTCAAATTCGGTCATAGGGACGGTTTCTAACCAACTGGTGTTTAAAGTTGTATCTTGGTGTGTTATCAAGAACAGCATTCGAGGTTGTCCGGCCGTCTGAAAGGATACACATACGCGTCGAGTTCCATTCACAATCACGGAAGCGACCTGAATTAGTATGTGGACTATACAGGGTGGCAGAAAGTACGGACGTGAATTTCAGCTGGCGCCTTGCCGAGGAGGACTTTTGAAATGTTTCGAGACTGCAGTATAAAAAGCATTCCAGGAACTTTGAATTGCAGCACCTGGAACCGCTCTCTGCGAAAAATCTCGGCTGCTCCAGGGGAACGGTGACAAATGTCTGAGATGCCAAAAAATATGTAAGGAAACCAGTGAAAACATAGGGGATTCGTGCCATCATTAAAAAGAGAATCACTGGCAACGATAGAGTCAGCATGAATCAAATTGCTTTTGACATAATTATCAGCCGTGAACACGTCTAACTTTTTTTGAAGCAGTCTAGACAAGGCTAGCTGATAAAATACGAAAACCCCTCCAAGAATGCGGAGTGAGGCGAATTTCTGCAGTATTGCAAACTTATGAAAAATTTTCACGGTAGAATCTTGTCCAAACATTGAAAATAGACACACATGTTGCCAAAATCTGACAGCAAGTCTTTGAAAGGTCGTCTTGTATGTAGCAGACTACCTATTGAAAGATTGATGGTTTGGGTTACAATGACATTAGTAAACCATATGCCATTGGTCTTCATTAACAGTAATTTGGAAAATGACGTCGAGGTCTATGAAAGGACAGCTTTAGTGAACATGCCGTTGGTCTATTATAGTCACTGAGCACATTGCAAGTGGATCGTCTGTTAGCAACACTAAGCTCTTTCGGTGGTTAGCAGTCAGAGAAAGCCGTACTGTGTGTGCACATCCTCGGGTACTACGGGAGCTGGGAAATGTCGCCTTCCTCCACGCTAGACCATATACAAATGGACTTTTCTGTGGGTCTTTCAGAGAACAGGATCGCAAGACGCTCGTACCGCTCGTGGACGCGTGAGTCGATATCAACGTCGACTACGTATTGCCCAATGTTAGTTCTGTCATCGAACGTCTGGAGGCCTGTGTAACAGAAAAGTGTGGAGCTTTGAAACTTTCTGTCCTAATCATATGACCCTACTCAACCCCTCAGTGAAGCTAATTTGACCGCCTGGTTTCTATCTTTGAAGCTACCTCATGAATGCGGCGTCCCATTTGAGTCACCCTGTATAGTGAATTGTGGTGCCCAGCCAAAATACGAGCCAGTTCTTTTACTCTATCACACGGATCTGGTTTTAATCAAGCGACTCCGAATGGTTCGAAATTTTGGCTGGCTTGGTGGTGGGTATCATCCTTGAATCTATCCTCAATCCATGCGCATGGTTACGCCAGTTGACACTATTTCACCTCTGTCCTTAAGTGTAAATACTAGATTGTCGGAAAAGCTTTTGCACATTTTTGTTTCCATGTCGTGAAATCTTGAAAATGCTTCGGAATGTTCATTTCGAAACATATGTCAATGCAGGTTGATGCGTTCTTCACATCATATCACCATATCAGTATTTTGCAACAGTTATGGCTGAGTTGGAAGAATCGCTCTCAACACGGAGCAAGTTGGACTGCTGCTTTATGGGTTCAGAAGAAAGTCGATTCAATCGTGCAACAAGGAAAATGCATACGTGATATTAAGGGACCCTCCACAGTCTCTCACAGCAATACGAGAAATCCGTACCTCAAGGTCGACGTTGGC